AGGCCCACTAGTCGGACCAAAGCATCCTGAAGAACTGGGGTAGCAATAAACCCCTCTGGGACCTGAGCTGGGCCCACCGAAACTGCTGGGGCCGGAACCTCCTCCTCAAAATCAACCTCAGGCTCCGCCACTGGTGCTGCTGCTCGGGGCTGAACTCTGCCCCTACCTCGGCCTCGCCCTCTACCCCTAGCGGAAGCTGCTGGGGGGGGGCTCGGGCTGCTTAGCGGTAGATGAGGAAGCACGTGTTCTCGCCATCTACGAAAGAACGGAGTAGAAATTCAATCAGTATTGGGAAACAGAACCGCACGACAAGAAAGAACAAATGTGAAGTTTTCCTAACTCTATAGCCTCTGGGGATAAATACATATATCTCCGTACCGATCCCTCAGACTCTACTAAGTTTGTCTGTGGACTGTGAGACCCATGTAACCTAGTGCTCTGATACCAACTTGTCACGACCCAGAATTCCCACCCTCGGGAGTCGTGATGGCGCCTACTAATGTGAGCTACGCAAGCCAACCCTTAATTATCTACTACCTTTTTCATATTACTTCTTTTAAAACAAACATAGGGCGACAATATAAATAAAACGGAAGTTAGGAAATAGGCGGAAGTCAACATTTATTAAGCTTAGAGCTACGTCTATTACCACTTTTAAACTTCAATACCCCAAAATTTGGTGTCACAGTACCACAAACTGTCTAAGAGTCACTACATACAAATTCTGAAGAAAATACATAGCACTGTTCCTGAGCAAGAGATAAAGGAAACAGGAAATAGAGATAGAGGGAGACGCTAGGGCCCGCGAACTTCTGCAGGTCTACCTTGGGTCTCTGGATGGATTGAAGGAAGCCCTCCAACTTCTGTCCGAAAGCTGCTCCGGGATCTGCACACAGTGCAGAGTGTAGTATCAGCACAACCGACCCCATGTGCTGGTAAGTGCCTGATCTAACCCCGGCGAAGTAGTGACGAGGCTAGGACAAGACTCCAGATAACCTGTGCAGTTATATAATATATGGCGGAAAAGTAAACAGATAATAAGCAATTAAAGTTAGGGAAGGGGAACATGCCTTGGGGATAGCTAAAAAAAGCAAAATAGCAAGGAATAAATAAGGAAGCTGACAATATAACTTCTAACACAAATAAAGAAAAGTAAAGACAACTTTCACTTTCAGTTTCCATCTTGTTGCAGGCGTGCAACCCGATCCCATTTCTCATATCTTGTGGTAGGCGTACCACCCGCTCCCATTTCATAATATCTTGCAATTTCAATGAATCCCGGCAAGGGAAAATAATAAATATAATAACTTCCCGGCAAGGGAACACAACAATGTAATAATTTTTCCGGCAAGATAACAACAATATTGAAATGGTCATCCCGGCAAGGGAGAATCAGCTATAACAAATCTCAACTTAGCTTGTAGTCAGTTCAATTATTAAAAATGCTCAATCATAGAAGATCATTAAGTAAGGCACCCAAGTGTCATTTAAGAACACAACAACTTTCAATTTAAGACTCACGGTCATGCTTGACACCAACGTATAGATACTCGTCTCCATGCCTCTACGTCGTACTCCACAAGAAGCAAGTAGCAAATATGACTCAACTCCTCATCCCTCAAGTTAGGGTTAGACCAAACACTTACCTCGATGCCTTGAACACCACTCAAGTCTCAATTATAGCTTTACCCCTCGATTCCACCACCAATCAGCTCGAATCTAGTCACAAGTTACTTAATTACATCAATAAGTGCTAAATGAATCAACCCCAATGCATGAAAATGAGTTTTCCAAAGTTTTACCCAAATAAGTCAAAATCACCCCCGGGCCCACGTGGTCGAAACCCGAGGTTCGGACCAAAACCTGGTTACTCATTCCCCCACGAACCCAAATATATAATTTATTTTGAAATTGGACCTCAAATTGAGGTCCTAACCCCCAATTTTAGAAAAACCTAGGCTCTACCTAAAACACCCAATTTCCCCCATGAAAATCTTTGATTTGAAGTTGAAATCATGTTAAAAGATGTTAAGGAGTGAAGAAAATAAGTTAGAAATCACTTACCAATGTTTTGGAGAAGAAAGGTTGTTTGAAAAATCACCTCTTATGTTTTTTGGGGTTTTGAAAAGTGAAAATTAACTGAAATTCCCGTTTATTTATGCCCCTCTCAGACCCCCTGTGCGGACCGCATTAAATGGACCACGACCGCACAGGCCTCTCTGAAGACCTGCAGTTCAACACCTTGTGCGGACCGCTCAAAGGCGACTGCGGCCGCACAACCTCCATCGCGCTCCGCACAAAGGCGACCGCGACTGCGCTGGCCACTCCGCGGTCGCACGCGATTTCTCGCGGACCGCACTAGAGGGTTCAGAGACCTGCAACTTCCTGAACCTGCGACGTCTGACTTTCTAAGCCTAAGGCATCCCGGAACCTACCTGAAACTCACCCGAGCCCTCGAAACTCCAACCCAAGTATACACACAACCTCAAAAACATCCTACGGACATATTCGTGTAATCAAATTACAAAAATAACATCACGAGCATCGAATTAAACCTCGAGATCAATGAAATTTCTCAAAACTCTTTTAAACATCAAATTTCTCAATTAAGGTTCAGATCGCGTCAAACGTCGTCCGTTTTTAACCAAATTTCACAGGAATGACTCAAGTCATATATAAGACCTGTACCGGGCGCCGGAACCAAAATACGGGTCCGATACTATTGCTTTCTAATCAGTTTTCATTTAAAGTTTCCTTAAACAATTTCTGAAAACAATTTCACTTAAAAATTCATTTCTCGGGCTTGGGACCTCGGAATTCGATTCCGGGCATACGCCCAAGTCCCATATTTTCCTACGGACACTCCGGGACTGTCGAATCACGGATCCGGGTCCGTTTACCCAAAATGTTGACCGAAGTCAAATTTATTCATTTTAACATCAAAACTTAGCATTTTTCACAGAGTTTCACATGTAAGCTTTCCGGCTACGCACCCGGACTGCGCACGCAAATCGAGGTAACTCTAATGAGGTTTTCAAGGCCTCGGAGACACAAAAATCAACTGAAAGCAAGTGATGACCCTTTGGGTCGTCACAATAAAGCTGAGGTTTGGATGTTGGAAATGGGAACTACAGTGTGAAAAGTCCATGTATAGCGGAATTCATCTGATTTTGATTCCTTATTGCTCAGTGATTGGAGTCTTGGTCTGCTGCCTATAGTTGGAAAAACAAAAGACAATTTGGAAAGTAAAGGTCCCTTTCTTTCCTACTAATTCTAAATAAAACCAACAGCTCCAATTATACAAAACTTTTTCAATATTGAAGGAAAAGTTACTTCACATTACAGAAACTCATTACAATACATTTTCTTGTTGCAAGCAGGCGAAAGGTAAATATGAAAGAAAGCTTGCCCGAGTCTTCAATTCAAAGTAAATTAGGACTTCCACCAAAGCTTAGAGTCTAGTGATAAACTGACATTCAATTCTCGCTATACCCCTTTCCTCTTTCCTTTCCCTAGTCCCCCACTGTAATAAAAAAAATTTGGTCAAAAAAAATGCAAAGCAAGACCTCAAAAGGGTATCACGTATGAAGAGAACTAGTGCCAGTGCTAGGAGGGTCATAGGCTGCATAAAGCAATGTAACAACAATTAAAATGATTGAGCGAGAGAACTGGGAAGGAGGAGACACCGCACTCTGAACATTAGGTAGCATGAAATTCAGCTGCTACCGAAAAATTTCTTTGAAACAATATACTTCTCATCACTGCAGTTCAGAGGTACAAATGATATGGCATCTACCACATATATGTTAGGAAAGCTTGTCCCCTACACTTATTCAAGTGATGCAGGACTAAAAACAGGTAACAAAATCAGTTTGTCCTAAATGGTTTGCGGCTTCCAACAGGTACAGAAGAAAAAAGAAAATTGAACAGGGACGGAGCCTGTACATCCACTAGCTTAACCGGTAAGAGCAGCATTAAGGGCGCTGTGTACATCAACTCCAATCTGGGCCTCAGCTTTCTCTACATCAGTTGATGCAGTGCTTAGCTTCTGCGTGAACTCTGTGAGGCCCTTTTGAACCAAATTGGGATCGATTTGGTCAAGTGGTACAGCTTCAATAGCAATTATATCTGCAAATGAATTTGCATGAACAAATGCAAACCCACCACTCACAAAGTACTTGGTCACATCGTTGCCTTCGTGAACTGATAGGAGACCAGGCTTCAGCTCTGCAATTGTCGCAACATGCCCAGGCAAAACACCCATCTGTCCTGTAGTTGCGGGAATGATAACCATGTCAACCTGCAATATGAAAAGAAAGAATAAACAAGCTTGGACTAATAACTTTGCAGATGATGTAATCCATGCACATTCTGCATAAAGATAAGTCTTCTGGTATCGTAATTCACATGACACCAAATGAAACATTTAGCCACAAGATTGAAAATTGAACAAGATTCTAGTTCGAAACAGGCAATATTTCCAGTCTCTAATCCAGAACTTAATGTGCACCAGTCAGATACTAGCATATGTTTACTTATGATTTCTGAAAGTGATCAACCTTGCAAAATTTGCCGAATTGAAGAGGAGCCTTGGAGCAACGGTAAAGTTGTCTCTATGTGACCTTATAGGTCAAGGATTCGAGCCGTTGCATCGGCCATGTCACGGTAGGCTGCCTACATCAACCCTTTGGGGTGCAGTCCTTCCCCAAGGATGTCCCAAAAGGGGAAAAAAAAATTGTATCACATCGAGTAATTATTAATTCGGAAATGCATATTGCTATCATCTAACTTGTCAGACATATTTTTTTTTATCAACAAAAAATATATCTGATAAGTCGAATGATGACAATATATATTTGCAAAATAATAATTAGTTGATATGAAGGGTGCCTTGGTGTAACTGGTAAAGTTGTTACCATGTGACCAGGAGGTCACGAGTTCGAGCTGTGGAAACAGCCTCTTGCAGAAATGCAGGGTAAGGCTGCGGACAATAGACCCTTGTGGTCCGGCCCTTCTCCGGACCCCGCGCATAGTGAGAGCTTAGTGCACTGGGCCGCCCTTTTAATAATTAGTTGATATAATCTATGTTTCGGTTTAAAGATTGATGATACCCCTACCTCACCTTTTGATAAATTAAAACAACAAACAATATACACTATCAGAATAATAATATCAAGATTAAGAGTTTAAGTACATTACTACATTTAATGGATTAGGGAATTCGTTTTATATAGTCAGTATAAAAACACTTATATCTACTTGGTCCTTTCAATACATACATAACGTACTGTCACAAGAAGTTGAAACTATACAATTCACATAATCAAGATAAATTACAGTTAATCTTGCGCTATGATCATTCTGATGGCGCGTCCAGTTTCCATATTAGATTATGAACTTGAACTTTACAATTTATAAATATTGATGATTTAGTCTTCCATTTATAAGCTAAAACTCTATGCTAATCAACTACTATATAAGCAAACGAACACACAACAAAAATATGATCCATTTAAAACTTTATTAAAATTGAATAAATAATTGTTCTATAATAAATATTATATCTAAATGTTAAGAGTATATATCCCAACAATCTCTCAGTTAGACTTTTGACCAAGACAATTGTCAAAATAAATTATATCCAAATGCATGGTTAATAGTATATATCGCAATCTACAACTTTCACAAGTATTCTTTTGACACGACTATCAACAATTTTCACCAGTAAGCTCTTTATAAAAGGATCTCGCCAAGTTGTTTTCTGATACAATCTTACCATAGGATCTCGCCAAGTTGTTTTCTGATACAATCTTACCATGCACTGCTTCATCGTAATTGACCGGCTCGGTATAAAGCTCTTCAAGGATCCTATCATGAAACTCTCCCAAGAGCGTACAAGAACAGTTTTCGTCCCTATTCTTTTGTTACAACCAAGTACTGCTAGTGTAGTATATGGCTATCCAACGGGACGGACGGGACGATATTTAGCCAGGACGGATGCGGGACGGGACGAAATGGTTGTCTCGTCCCGTCCCATTGACGATATTTAGCCAGGGCGGTAGCGGGACGGGACGAAATGGTTGTCCCATCCCGTCCCACTGGGATGGGACGGGACGGAACGGGATGGCGGGCCTTAAGTGGGTTGTTTTTAAAAAAAAAATTATTTAAGCATTAAGTTTGGCAACGGCTAGTTTTTTGACAATGACTAAGTTTTTAAAGTTTGCAACGACTAGTTTTTTGACTTATTTAATAAACTTAAATGTTAAAACGAAAATTAGGAAACTAAGTAAAGAATTATAAAATATTAAAACAAAAGACTTGTAATGAAATATTCTAGTAATTATAATAGAGTTATAATTTATTTAATACAATTTCAAGCCATTAACTAACTAAGTAAGAGTGTAAGACAATTCATAAAAAAATGCTTAGAGCCTTTTATTTTATTAATAGAACTTTAAAATCTCACATACAAATATAATTCTTTTGAAGAGTACCTAATCTATGCAGCCACCTTCTAGGAAGGTTCTGTCTGAACTAGGCCTCTTGGTAGCCAATTACAAATTATCATACTAATATTTGTAAGCTCCTATATAGCTTCATTGTAACTTATCTATAATTTCTCTCAGACATTATTTTGGAATTAACAATGTTGATTGATGTTCTATGAGCTCCATGTCGTCATTGGTCCCAGTGCTAAGTATCTCATTGTATTTTTCTTCTTCCCTAGTAGTTAATTTTTCAAAACCAAGATTTCTTCTTTCTGCATTAATCCAATCTCTGAATAATACGGAAATCTCTAGGTTGTCCTCTGCTAATGAATGTCTGTGATCTCCGATTTGAAATATTGCTGCGCTAAAAGCATTCTCTGATGCTAAGAATCAAGTTCATCATCAATAGATGAATCAAAATCTATTATATCATCCATATCTTCCCATAGAACTTCTACTCTAGACTTAGAAGTACAAGGAGCAGTTTCACCACCGTTGTTTCCATAGATTTATATTTATCAAACATTGATCTAGATTCTAGCATAAGAATATATGTTA